AGTTCTGTACATGGATATCTGACTGTACCAGAAGAATTTGTTCAATGATTATTTCTCAAATTGAATTCCCTTCATGCTTTTGCAAACACTCATTATTTATATAAATGATTCTACTTCTTGAGTCCATTTGTTTTCATTGCTCTATTTCTCTAGGTTAAGACTAATATCAATCAATTTTAAGTACTATAGTTTTGTAATAAGTCTTAAAATCTGGCCATGTTATTACTCACACTTTGTTCTTTCAAAGCAGTTTTGGTTATTCTAGGTTCATTTCACTTACATATGAATTTTAAAATCAGTTTTGCAATTTCTACAATTAAATCTGCTGGGATTTTAAATATGATTATAATAAATCTATAGCTTAATTTGGGGTGAATTGAAATTTTAACAATATTGCATCTTCCATCCCATGAGCGTAAAATACTGATTAATATGATCTTCTGGGGCATCTCAAGACCTAGTCCTCCAGGCTCAGTGACTCACTGGGATAGCTCACGGGATTCAACCTACAGCCACATGAATGCCTATGTTTTTTGTTTTGTTTTGTTTTGCTGTGCTTTTTTTAAGGCAAAATGATGATACAGAGCACAATCAGAAAGGGAAGTAATGCACAGGGAAAATTCCAAGAGAAACCTGGTGCAAGCTTCCTAGAGTCTCTTTCCACTGAAGTCATACAAGACACAATTTCCTCTGCCATTAGTTGTGACAAAACATGTGAATTGTTGCCAACCAGGAAAATTTCTTAGAGACTGAATGCCTAGGATATCTTTTTTGTGGAGGGTTGATAACATAAGCAGCCTCTACTTAGCATATACCAGAATTACAGATTCCCAGAAGGAAAGCAGGTATTCAGCATTAACCATTCTGCTTATACAGTTAGGTACAGTGAGCCATTCACATTAATTAATGGTAAGAACCCTCCTGAAATCCCATACAAGAGTCAAGAGCCAATCTTGCAGCAGGGCTGCCTATTCAAAGACAGCAGTTCAGGCCTACTGTGTTAATTCCTTTCTGTTCAAGTGCTAGTAAGAACAATTAGGTAATTAAATTAATGAAAGTCACTTTCCCAATGTCCTAAAATCAGAGTTAAATGGAATCTATAAAGGCTGTACCATCTACATTTACAGGTTTCATCTGATTTTCACGAGATCTGTGCTAAGAATCATGCAAACATCTTCTTGATAACCTTACTAACAATATTAGGTGAAATTTCTCTGAAGATGTTAAATCATGATAATATTTTGAATACATGTGTTGTTGGTATACACATAATCAATAATAAGTAGCATGTTTTGTGTATTTATATTATGTTCTTTGTTATTTTTTATTTTTATAAATAAAGGTATGCTTTTCATAAATCATCTAAAACTGACACAAAATATAGATTTCTGTAACTGGTAGAATTGTTGATATATACATATATGAATAATGGTACTGATATAATTAGTTTTAAAATTATTTGACCTGGCATTGATCCTTTAACTTGATATAATGATTTTATTGGACATTGAATTATTTTATTACTGAATAATAATGTTATTGATAATGTGAAATATGAACACCACAAGAATTTCATTATCATTTATATTATTGCAGAAGCAAACGTCTCCTCTGCTGAATTTTCCAATGATACTCTGTTTCCTACTAGTTGATAATATCTAAATGATAGAGTCCTTGTGCATTTATTAAATTTTTAGAAGTTTAGCTATTTCTAACTGATACTATCAACAATGTCCCTCTTTTATACCAAAACTAAACTTTAAGTAGCTAATTTTATTAGAGATGAATATATAATGAAAAGTAGTTTATTTGTGTTCCCTTTTGCTTTTCCTTCCAACTTACTGTTTTCACTTTACCTGGTTTTTCTCTTCATCAAATCCCTTGCTACCCTTGGAAGCACATTTCAGTTTCCTTTGCTGTTTTATTTGTTCAGTGAAACTCATAAATGAAACATAATATTCTCCACCTAATAAACATGTTAAACTACAGGGGAATTGTCATGTTTGAAAGCAAAGTTACCCCTCACCCAATAATCACTTACTAGTTATAAAGGAAAAAGTGCCTTCAAAATGAAGCACTCTAGCCTACGTTATCTCAAACAAGATACCACCAAACTTAACTCCATCAACTGTAGGACTCGATGACCCTCTGAGCCTCCCTCCATGATACCCTGAGAAAGGGAATCCTATCATGTCACCTCCTTGTTGTCCCTCCAAAAACATTTCAACTAAATATAATCATGAGGAAGTAATAGAACCAATTCAAATTGAAGAATTCTATAAAAAACATACAAACAAACAAAAAAACTAGTCTGGACTCTTCCCCAATATTAATGTGATGAATGGCAACATCTTCTTGATTAAAAGACATTATAGGGACATAACAAGTAAATGTAATGTGTGAATTTGATTAGATCCTGAATTCAAATATAAAATCCACAAAGCATATTCTGGATTTTGGGGAGAATTGGCATTACAGCAGTCATAATGTATCAGAGTCATGAGTGTGTAACTATGTTGCAGCTCTGTAAGAGAAGCCCTTGCTCTTAGAGATACCTGCTGAAGTATTTAGGAGTGAAATATGATGGCTGAAAATAACTACCAAACTAGTCAGCAACTATAGCGTAAATACACACACAAATTATTCAGGAACTGTAGCATAATATACAGGTACATTATTCAGCAACTATGGCATAAATACACACACAAATTATTCAGCAACTATAGAATAAATGCACACGTACATTATTCAGTAACTATAAACACAAACACACGCATGTGGCAAAAGGTTAATACTTGGTGAAATGAGGTAAATGTTGCTATGGGTGTTTACTGCACTATTCTTGCAGTTTACTGCAGGATAAAATAAAGGAATTCAAAATAGAAAGTTTGATGTGGAAAAAATAAAGGCATTCCTTTTATAAGGTATTTCTTAATAAATGTTTTGTCCTTGGAAGATAAATTTTTGAAAGTAGACATTTTCCCTAACATGCCATAGAAAAGTTCATGATGAACAAGGGTGAAATCTAAGAAGAAATTATAGTAGTGTCATAAAATTTAAAAATAAATTTCATGCCTTGGTTGGAGTGACTCAGTGGATTGAACATCTGCCTGTGAACCAAAGGGTTCAATTCCCAGTCTGGGCAAATGCCTGGGTCGTAAGCCAGGTCCCCAGTAAGGGGTGCATGAGAGGCAACCACACCCTCTCTTTCTCTCTCTCTTCTCCTCTGTCCAAAAATAAATAAAATGTTTTTTTAAAAAACATTTTAAAAATAAAATAAAATAAAAAAAAATTCCAAGAGTACACTTTAAATTTTAATTAGATGACAGCATATTAATAATGAGGATATTCAGAATTATTTTATTTCCTTATAGATTTACAGTTGAGTTTCAATTTTAGTATGTCTTCCAAGTTCACAGATGAAATAAAATATCCCTTTTATGTAAGGCCTAATCACGATCTTAAATGTTTGAAGCTGCAATGTGGGTCTTCTGAGGCAAAACAAAAAGAAATGGTAATGGTGGTGGGAAAATGGAGACAACTGTATTTGAACAGCAAGAAAAAATTATAAAAAGAAATAAAAATAAAAGAAAAAAGGTATATCAATAAAACTAATTTGGATAATTCAAATCTCAAATTTAGAAGATCCAAAAAGTTGAATAAAACATAATTTTCTCAGAAAAGTGCCTAAAATTCTCAGAATTTTCTATTAAGCTGAGATCGTAGATACTTATTTTGTTTTAATTATAGTGCAATTTTGTTTTAATTAAATGTGAAAATGTTATATAAAAGCAAAAAAGTATAAATAAATCAGTAATAAAAACATTTTTAAAACTCAGTCTTTAAATATAAACTGAATTTTATGAATTAATTTAAAATTCTGTGAAATGAATAATTCTCCTGTATAGAACATTTATAATTAAAAGTCATTTAAGTCTTTGTTAAGGAGAATTAAACAGTATATTTCTATACCAAAAAATAATATTCCTGAATTTAAAGGTTTATAATATTTTCATATTATTTCACATTATTTCACATATTTCACATTATTTTCATATTATTTTCATATAAACCTTTTAGTACAAGTAATTATTATGGAGAGAACTTCTCGAATTAAAAATAAAAGTAAAGTTTAAGATGTCAGGTTTAAACAAAATATGAATATCCTAGAGATAGAAATAGTGAATGGAAGATACAAAAATACTATAGACACTGAGGAACAAATGATATAACTCAATATATACATATTAGAAATAGTCTTTAAAGGGAAATTGAGGAAGCAAAGGTGGAAGAAAAGAACAATTTCAATAAATAATGAGCTATAATTTTATATTCAACAAGGTTTAATTACTAAATAATATAAATGAAATAATTTTACTCTGAATAGACCTCATGTCCATTATCATCACTCTATATTATCCATTAACAAGAACGAAAAAAGTAATTCTCTGCAATGATTAATCAGTTAAACAAATTAACCAGTTTGTACCTACCTGTGAACAAAAGCATGTCAGGCATCCAGACAGCTCCGCCCATGTTCTTCCGTCTGCAGGAATCCTGTGTGAACCTACTCGGCCTGAAGGGTCACCAGGCACAGAGCAAACTGAGGGTTGCCAGAGTGGGAAAGGGGTAAAAATGTGAAGGTGAAAAAAAGGTACAAACTTCCAGATATAAGTCACTGGAGTTCAACGTACAACATAAGGAATATCATAATAACTTCATATGGTGACAGATGGCTACTGCACTTATCCTGGGGATCCCTTCCTTAGGAATACAAATATTGAATAACTGCGTTGTACATCTGAAACTCATATTATATTTTAAGTTAACTTCAATTGAAAAAGCAAGATGCTTCAAACAATTACTAATCTTCATGGAGTTCTATTTATCTTGATTATCAATCTAGGTTCAAATTATTTCTAGCAGATTGAGTAGTGCAATAGTACATGCTACTTCATATTGTAAACAGAGTTTAACAGTCCTCTTCACTTAATGTTTAGGTTGCTTGGAATTAAAAGAAGACACCATTGAAAACCTCCTTGCTGCCGCGTGTCTGCTCCAGCTTCCCCAGGTAGTAGAAGTGTGCTGCCACTTCCTCATGAAGCTTCTGCATCCGTCCAACTGTTTAGGAATCCGAGCATTTGCAGATGCTCAAGGGTGCATTGAACTAATGAAGGTGGCTCACAGCTACACAATGGTAAGGAAATTTCATAGTTTGAATGATAGAGACATAGCTGTATTATCAGAGGTTAAAATAGTTACTGTTATTGCACTGGACATCTTTTTAAAGCTTAATATAATATAAATTTTGTATGCTTGGCATGTTTTTATTATGGAACAATGTAAGTCATTACATAATGAATATTATTATCACTTAATTTATCTTTTATAGGCCATATAGATACAGATACTGACTTTTGGGGATTTTAAAAGTTGTTTAAAAGAAATGAGTGGATCAAAAAACTATGGTACATTTAGACAATGGAATCCTACATAGCAGAGAGAAAGAAGGAGCTTCTACCGTTTGCCACAGCATGGATGGAACTGGAGAGCATTATGCTAAGTGAAATAAGCCAGGTAGTAAGGGACAAATACCATATGATCTCACCTTTAACTGGAATATAATCAACAAAAGAAAAAAGCCAACAAAGTATAACCAGAGTCATTGAAATTAAGAACAATTTAACAATAACCAGAGAGGAGGGGGGAGGGGACAGTGGGGAGAAGGGTTTTCAGGAACTGTAAAGTACACATGGGCAAAACCAAGGGGGAGGATGGAAGCAGGGGAGGGTGGAAACAAGGGAGGGAGGTGAGTTTGGAAGGGGTGGGGGTGAAGCATGGGGAGAAAATATAGACAACTGTAATAGAACGACAATAAAATTATTTAAATTAAAAGAAAATAATTTTTACTAAGTGCCTCTAGCATATCTATCTTTATGCCTCCAAATTCCACAGCTACACTTTTTTTTTGTATTGAAGAGTTAGCAGTCTGTGCCATAAAAATTTTTCTTTTCCTCTCCCTTTTTACCTTGAGAGGACACAGTATATGTAAATACATACATTTATATATATAAATATATATAGGTATTTTAATACCTTTATAGAGACTAAAAATCCTTTGAATTTTACACTTTAAATAGATAAACTTTAAGGAGTGAATTTCTTTTTGCAGTATCTTTGTTCTAGAAAAAATTATCATTTATAACAATTTTATACCCATAATTTTTTATACAATAGAAATATTCACTTTAAAAACACAATACCATCCCTGGCATGTAGCAAGCACTATATAAAATGCTAGCCATTTTTTATATTGTTACTGTTATTAACATTATTAATGATTTGATTAAATTATATATTGACATATTATAAAGTATATAACTTTCCCTTTCCAACTCAAGGGAAGAATTTATATGATAGCTTATTAAGCTTTATAGTTGTTGTTTATTATAAAGCACTTGTTTTGAGATTAAACGCCTTTTCAAACCACTAATGACATTCAGACATTTAAAAGTCTTCCAACTGTTTTTCTTAGAATTTCAATGTTATTTTAATTATTTTCTGTAATCATTTAATCAGATTAGTCAATTAAATGAAAATATAGAAATACAAAGAAGGACATACATGCTTTGTAGTTCTACTGTCAAATTCTTCTTTCAAAATATCTCATGACAGGGCACAGTACTACTACTGAAATTGTGTCAACCACATGAAATCAGTGAACATACTTCATCAACTAAAATATCAAAGTCGAATGGCAGTCATTTAATTATGCACATTTCATTACAATTAGTTGCTGCTGGCTTAGCTAAGCCAAAGAACCCTATGTCTCCATACCCACAAGGATAATGGTCCCTTCTGGTCTAGTTTGAAATTGTTAATTTAGTAATAAAAATGTTTTTCTTGCAGCTGCTTAGACTGTTTTGCAATTTGTCTCACAATAATAATAGTATTTTTTCTTTAAGCACTTTAAAATGTTTACCTTATAGTAAAATGTATTTAAAACAGAAGCAAAGAAGGGTTCTGGCTAAGATGCTCAACCTTCTAAACAATGTGATTTTAACTTATTTTTGAAACAATAAGTGAATTATGTATTATGTCATATCTGTTGAAATTTAAATGATTTCAAATTCTTTTAGAAGCATACAACTCCAGTATTCTCTACATGTTCATGGGTGAAGAAAATTTACTGATCAGTTGTCTTTGTTTCTAGTCCTTGTTTGACCATGTGTATGTCTTCCTCATAATCGAATCTATCCAATCGGTGATTTGAAAGTGAACCTATTATGCTGGGATTTTTTTTTCTTGTGAACTGCTTTAATAGCAAATCATCGCAGTTTTCCTATTACCTCCAGGACTGAATTAACTTTTTAATTTTTTCTAATTATGTGTTATTTGTTTATTCCACAAGTAAATTTATTTTTGCTCTAATTTTCTTGCTAAGATTTTTAGTTATGAACTTGACCCTCAAAGTCTAGACCCTAACTTCTTGTATCTATGTGTTTGCTGTTTACATTATTTGTTAGCTTTCCTTTGGAAATTTCATTTGTTTATTTCATTTCAGCTATTCATTTTTGTGTAAATGATCCCAAAATCTATCCAGGGAAGGATCCCCAGATAGGCAGTGGTTCATACACAAACTGCTGAAAAAATTTTATTGAAAGTTCAATATTGCACGGAAGCATGAAACTAATTCTAAAACATTTAAATTTTAGCTGTATAGATATATAGGTAACAACAAAATAATAGCCCCCCTGTATTTCATTATAAGACCTACATTCAATTTCGTACATCACATTTTAAAAACATAGAAAATGACAAGCAGAGACAGGTGAGAATAACAGGAAGAGTCAATGTTTTATCATCATTTCATGTGAAGAGAAGGTAGACAAAACTACAGGTGCCTGTGGTGCGTGAAAATAGTTGTCTTCATGTATTTGACAGAATGTACTTGGATCCAAAAGAGTAGCATTTCAGGATTTAATTTTTTTTATTTTAGTAGTGTAATCTGTTCAAAATTGATATATAAAAGAACAATATTAGAGTTGATCTGCTGTGTGTGAAGATGGATGAAAAGTCCAGACTCCAATTTAGTCTTCTGATCTTTCTCTTCTGGGTTGTCTATTTCCACTGATCATTAGTGCCACTTCCCTCCACGGTCAGCTCTGCCTTTACAGGAGTCCCCTTGAACTGCACATCCCGAAAATCCTCCCTCCTTATAGTTTTGGGTTAGAATTTCCCAGTAAAATTATTCATACAAGAAATGGAAGGTGGGCGAGAACAGGAAGTCATTGTTGTCCACATACAGTGGCTGGCAGACATGTGGACAGGTGTAAAGTTGAAGTAACTTCTAAGGCAGTCCTTGAAAGTGATTCCCTTCAGCAGTGTAGACTGAGAAAGTTGATGGGAGTCTTCTAGAGGTTCTTAAGGAATGCAGCACCTCTGTGCAGTATTTTTGAGAAGAATTCACATTAAACTGAAGATTGAGGTTATTAATAAAAAGATCCTTAACCATCACTTCCACAGCTCTACACAACACCTGTTAGGTCTTCAATTTTCTATCCACAGCTTCCTATGTAGATCATGGAGTAGCTTTTCTTCCTAATCCAACAGTGTCTTCAACACACAACCCAAATAAGCCATTCTAAAAATATTTCAATAAGCATGATCCTCCCCACCTAACTTGTAAACTGCTATATGGATGTATTTCCTCAAACAATAGAATTTTACCCCTCTTCATTGTGTGCTATGAATTTTCTTCATTTGTACTTGTGATATTTCTTTTGTCTAGAATCTCTGGTATCTAATTCTAAATGACCCTTCCATTTTCAAATCAAATTCATCTGTGAATAAAAAAATACCTTACATCTTGTCGTGGATCTTTTCTCTCATTTGAATTTTTAGTATTCATCTTCTGATGATTACCTAATATCATGACAAACTGATTTCCTTATATTGTACACTTAGTTATCTTTTTTTATGTCTTGTGACTGGTCCTTATAATTACATTGCAAACTCCTCTGTGACAGAAAAAAGCTTTCCATTGCAATTTGTTTTGGTCTAACAAAGTACTTAGTACCTTGTAATATATAAATGAATCCCCACAGTTCCTTGGATACTTTTTCAGGATTGTGATTCTTAGCAGTGCTGTATTACACATTTCCCCTAATTTTTTATCAACAAGATTACACATTTTCTCTAATTTTCTTTCCAATATTGTTTTCTACCATTATTTCCCTTGTTCACACAGTTTTAGCCACACTAACCTGCTTACTTTTTTAATTACACAAAACATGCTATCACTTGATGATTTTTATTTTTTCTTCCCTGGGTCAGAAATACTCTTCTACCAAATACTTATATCCTTTCTTCTCTGCTTATGCATATCTGCTCAAATGCCACTTGCACAGAAATCTCTTTTCTGAGTTTTATATAAAGGGACACTGCCTTCAGAACTCTCTATTCCCCTGCACTGCTTTATACTCTTTATAGTGCTTATTAATTTTCAGCTTTGTTATGTATACATACATAATTATTGCAACTGTTGTCCACTTCCATCATATAGGCTCCTTGGTGGCACTTTTTAAAACTTCTTCAGAGAGATTGTGGTAACTCTTAGCTTCTGCCATTGTGTTTGATGGCAATGCTTACCACAGCCAGTGCTGGCAGTGCACAGTTCGGTGTATAGTATACATTCGGTGTGGCTGTGGGTGACAAACATACTTATTTAGTCTAATCCTCTCAAAACTGTTGCACGTTTCATGTTATTTCCATTTTTAAAATGATAAAATAATGTTTAGGGTTGTTTAATTTCCTCAAGAACAACAGAAGAGAACATGGTAGAATGGGGGATTTAAGCTTACTATTGTCTCATTACAAATGTCATGCATTAGCTAATATGCTAATAAATTGATATATAATAAGTTGATTATTTTTTACCCCCAATAACATCAGGTTTCTCATACCCAGAACACTTGAAAATACAGATTACTTGACAGAAATGGATATTATAAACCCAAAACATAGACAACACCAATGAAATAAACAAAATGTTGGTTCCTTAGGGTTTTTGTTGTTATTTCTCTGTTTACGTTATTCTCACATCCTGCCTGGTGCTACAGACATGGCATGAAACATTTCACAGTGTTTGTGCTGGAGGCAGATGCCGTGGCAACAGGACTAATTAGAGGCAACCAC